TTGCGTTCATATGTGCTACATTTTCGCTGGAGGAAACAGCTGTGGTGTGGTGTGATGAGGGGTGAAGGCAGTGAGAGCTTAGGCTACAGCAGTAGCTGGGGAACCGATTGCTCCCCCATGATATTTTGTAAACTGTATTTATGACAAAGAACTGTACAGTTGCAGATATTATAACAATCTAACTCCCCCTAAAAGTGGCCTAGCAACGCCCATGGGAGCAGCATTACGTTTAGTTGACACTTTAACAACTCTCTGCCTTTTGGTAGAGTGCATATTGATGGTTTACTGAGATATCTCTACCAGTCAGGTGTTATATTAAGCAAAAAACGTGTTGGTGAATTAGTGACTAACTGAACAGATACGAGTTGAAATTAATTCAAGTATCTAATAAATATATTAGTATAATATTAGATAGCCTACTAAAACTGAAAAATATACGGGTCACTATACTGGATTTCTTGGTAAAGAAGTAAATGCTAATAAAATGGATACTCGTTAAATGTTTAGTAGAAGCACATAAAAACGATGGGTCCTTAAAAACATACATGTGAAAAAATTACTGCATTTTTATATCATTTGTATTATTTATTACAAACAGTAATTCCATTGTTTTTTTTCTGGGCGTGTCTATTAAAGGGTTAATGCATGCGCTGATCCAGGGCCAGCTCTATTAGTAACCAGATTGGGCTACATCATATAGGCTATAGCCTATATCATCCTTTTATGATTGATTGTAATTCACTCCAGATTCCTGCTGCTGATATTTCAAAATGGAACATTTTGCTATCATCTATGTACTTTTTAATATTGGATCGTGCAATATAAGGAGCGAAACATGCACTGAAAGTTTTCTGACCACGTTATATACTGTCTAAGCAAATATGAAAACTTATTGTACATTGCCATAGTTTTAAAATCAAAAACATGCGTATTTCCCTGACGTGTAGCTGTTGAGCACAGGCCCAGAATTTAGGTGTCATTTTATTTTATTTTATTATTTTATTTTATTTCAGTTTAAATACCGGCAATTGTGGTTCAAATATTTTTCATTTTTAATTCTTTTTTTATTTTATAGACTTAATAAACATGCCTGTGAGTATATACTTTACAATTTGTGTAAATATAATTTGAATAAAATGTTTAAAAATGAAACATAAAACCAAGTATGTAGTGTCTATAAAAGAAAGCAATTCAATATTTTGTACAATATCAGTCGTCAAAAGCTGCAGTTATCCCAATCCCAATTCCCAAAAGCTCTGTTTGTAAAGTCTTTTGTTCTCATTTAGAGTAAAATCCACATTTACACTCTTAAAAATAAAGGTGCTTCAAAAGGTTCTTCAAGCGATGCCATAGAAGAACCATTTTTGGTTCCACAAAGAACCATTCAGTCAAAGGTTCTTTAAAGAACCATCTCTTTCTTACCTTTTGTAATCTGAAGAACCTTATTTCGCCACAAAGAACCTTTTGTGAAACAGAAAGGTTCTTCAGATGTTAAAGGTTCTTTATGGAACCATTTAGACAAAAAGGTTCTTCTATGGCATCGTGAAGCACTTTTATTTTTAAGAGTGTACCTCACTTTCAAAATTTCACCTTTCCAGGGCATTTCAGAAATGAGTGTTTAAGTATGCCGAATTAACCGTTGTGTCATGATATTTATGTTTCATAATGTAAGAAGAACGAACATACAGATTCTGACTCATGAGGCAGATGTTGAGACAGAAATAAAAACACCAGCATTCCAATAACACATCGATCTGATTTATACTTTTTATATATGAAATATTTGTGACTTCTTGTCTTGTCAAATCTGCTGTTTACCATGCTTTCCAGTTGAAATTCTTGCCACATTGCGTAAAAAGCATGTGAGTGCATTCTCTTGTTCTTGGTGCACTGCACTTCCTTTGTTTGTTTTTTCTTTGAGTTCATTGAAATTATAAATTACAAAACGAAGAAAGCACAGCCATTTTTAACGATTGGACTGTTATCTCTGCTGTCTCACCTCACGTCATTTTGTAGATTTAGAAAAAAACATTTGTTGATTAAATAATATAATACAGAAATGTGTTTTTCTTCTATAAGAAGGCTCTTATGCCAGGGCCACGTTCAGTAATGGTTGCTAGCCGTACAAGTGCCCAAAATGAGAGGGACGAATCACAGGTTCAACAAATTCAGCAGTCCCAAGCAGCTCCCTACTCATGGGCCCCAGCTGAGGACTTGCGTTTCATCACCACCACCTTTCAGCTCCTACACACCTCAGGTATATATATAAGTTATATGTAAGTTTGGGGTCAGCAAGATTTTTTTTGTTTTGGAAAGAAGTCTCTTATGCTCACCAATGCTGCAGTTATTTGGTCAAAAATACAGTAAAACTGTTAAATTGTGAAATATATATATATTTTTTTACAATTTAATATAACTGTTTTCTATTTAAATATATTTTAAAATATTATTTATTTCTGTGATGGCAAAGCTGAATTTTGAGGGGCTGTTACTCCAGTCTTCAGTCTCACATGTTCCTTCAGAAATCATTCTTATATGTTTATTTGCTGCTCAAGAATCATTTCTTATATTATCAATGTTGAAAACAGTTGTGCTGCTTAATATTTTTGTTACACATTATGTTCTTTTGATTAATTTAATGAGTCCTTGTTGAATAAATTATTCTTTTAAAAGAAAGAAAAATCTTACTGATCCCAGATGGTAGTGTATGTCATATTAATAAATAGTTTCTTTATCTTTTAGGATGGTACTGGGGTGGTGTGACAGCCAGTGAGGCAAGGGATGCCCTCATTGGAGTGTCTGAAGGGACTTTCCTTGTGCGTGACAGCAGCCATCCACTCTACCTCTTCACCCTCTCCGTACAGACCTGGAGAGGCCCCACTAACGTCCGCATTCAATACGACAGCGGCCGATTCCGTCTCGATTCCAGATTTCCAGCCCGATCTTGCCTGTTGTCCTTTTCTGCTCTTCCTAGTCTCGTGCAGCACTATACATCCACGAGTCTAGGGGAGTAGAGGATAGCAGAAGAACATCACGTGGTGTCAAAGGACAATGGCATCCTGTTGAAGCTCAGGAAGCCTCTGCACAGGCCTAAGGCCTTTCCAGCATTACAGCACCTCACAAGCCTCACTATAAACAGACATGCTGGTTGCCATACACAG